TTAAAAGCATCACAACTCAGCAGTTTGATTTATTAACTCATTTAAAAAGTGTTTGATTCTTCTTCTCTCTTTCTTTTTCTCTCTTTTTTCATATTTCAACCAAGCCCCAATCGCCTCAGGGGAAAAATTTACTATAGGCGATATTATTTTTGTTCCATGTTAATGCAACAGTCATAATGATAAAATAACTTAATAATGACAGCACGGTGGTCGGCTGGACCCAGCTGACTGCGTGTGTTTGTAATTTCTTGTGATTTGAAAGCATCTACTTTGCCTCTTTCAGCTGTGATCCTTTGATTTTATCCTTTCATCTGAGTGTGTGTGTGTGTGTGTGTGTGGAGCCACTCAAACACATACTAGACACCAGAAAGACAGGGTGTTTAGGCTTTTTTCTGCTAACAGAACTGTATATTACAGTTAATGGGTAACAAAACTGCTCGTTAGTTGAAGGAGATTTTAATGATGTCGGATGAAAGTAAATAGCACAGTAGTGTATGATGATGCGCAAAGTGGGTCAATCCATAAAGTTTGAATGCTGGTGATGTGTCTCTTTACAAAGCACTTCATACATGTATGTTGTTTCTAGAGTCAGACAGTCTGATAAATGCAGTTGCTTGAAAAGTCAACTTCTGTGGAAACATGCCCAACATTCCAGAGAAAATTGAGATAAAGTTACATTTACAATTTATTAGATTAGATTAGTGGTGTGTAAGGATGGCAATTGATCCAATTTTGTTAATACCAATCCATTATGGATTATGCTTATCAGTCCGATTCTTTGTAGATTCTCTTATCGATTCCTGATCAGTTTTCTGTGTGGAGAAAAGTAGGCCCAATTTTCAGTGTCAACCTGACTGCTTCATTATCTCTGGGTCTGAACTCCTTAGAACTCTGAACTGTGTAGAAACAGAGAGTTATAGTAGTTTGAATTTCTGTGTGAAATGAAGCCACGCTTTGGATCATTTCTTAAATTTTTCTCTAAGAGTTTTCAGCAACATAGATATGAGTTTGACATCATTCTTTTTCAGTGCACAACTGTCTTAAGCTCGCTTCTGATGGATTGGACTATTTGGAACCACTTCTCGATTCCCATCCTTAGTGGTATACAGGGTGTAATTCAGTAATATTCAAATATACTCCTGACATCCAAAAGCGAAGCGAATGTCACTCTACATCAACAGTACGTCACAAGCTGTGGCACCAGGCCAGAAGTCAATCGGTCAGAGGGAGGTCAGACGAGATTTGACACCATGGACAATAAGAAGTTTATCTTGGAAGTGGAGAAACACACCATTTTGTATGACACCACATATCCTTTTTGAAACTGGCAAGATACTAGGAAGACGCTCTCCACCGACCAAGCAGTATTTGACGAGTCGGGAAGGAGAACGTGTTGGTAATAATGTGGAGGACTAACCAGCTCAGAGTAACTGTGCAGTGCCTTTAAACCCAAACTAAAGAGCATTTAGATCATCATGAGACACTCAAACTATCCACTTAGATCATCAAAAGACGCTAAAAAGCACCAAATCACAGCAAACCAGACCCCAGCTCTGATTAAATGACTTTTATTGTCTTCAGAAGTAGCAGTAATTTGTGCATTTATGTAACATCAAAATGTATTAAAAAGTTACTTTCACTGACAGGATGAAGCTCATTAGTCTGTTAGTCAAAATTAAGACTTTTCTTTTTCTCTCTTTGTAAAAACCAGTCCATGCTTAGGGGCATCAGCCTGCAGCAGCTCTCTGTTCCCACGGTTTAATTGAACTTTTAATAAGTTTCAGTTCTGCTTCATTATATCTGAAAACAACAGTGCAAACAGTCTGTTAACCAGACTGTTTTATTTCACACACAGATTTATCTCACACACACTCAAACGCATTCCAGTCTGAACTGTACCCGCAGAACTTAAACAGAAACGCATGAATGTAATAAATGTTACTTTACCGCAGAGAGTATGCACATGATCCTGTTCACACATCTGTACGTCTATACTTGTGAGGACCCTCATAGACATGTACATCTCCTGCCTCTGTGCCTAATTGTGACCTGTACTCTAAAACCAGGGTTTAACCCTCAGATAGCCATTAAAAGGGGTGAGGACTGGACAAAATGTCCTCAAACTGGTCCTCACAAAGACACACACTCAGCTTAAGGAGGCAGCTGGACAATCGACATCTGTTCAGTCTTTTATAAAGGCTGACACTCCCTCCAACACCACTGCTGTGTGTGTGTGTGTGTGTGTGTGTGTGTGTGTGTGTATGAAGGATTAACTGTTGACTTGACTTTGTTTGCCTGTGTGCGTGTGTGTGTGTGTGTGTGTGGACTGGGGATTAGTTGCTTACTAGACTCATGTGTATGCATGTGTGTGTGTGTGTGTGTTTCAACAATAGGGGCGGGGTGGCAGCTCTCTAAAAATGTCCTTAAACCATGTTGAACCTCCATAAGACTTTAATCTCATGTAAATTATAATTTAATTAGTGAATTTAAATAAGAAAGCTTCTAAAATACAGTGTGTGTGTTTGTGTGTGGTGTTGTAAACTGCTGACTTTTCACTGAGTGTGTGTGGGATTAATTTCTTACTCTGCGCTGTGCCAATGACAAGCATTATTATGATTCAACAGCCAGGGTGTGTGCTGTAGTGTAGTGTGGTGTGTGTGTGTGTGCTTTGAGGAGCTCACAACCGTGGGAGTGGGAGTGGGAGATTTACGAAACCCAGTAGGGCAGCAGGTTCCTGGGCCCACTGAGCAGGCCAACCCCCAGAACCCTCTGGAGGTCCTCTGACCATCTGCACACTTTATTATATCATACATATGTATTAATATCTACCTCACTGCAGTCCTTCTCCTGTCCATCAAATCACAACTGCTGTGGCTTCAGCAAGTTGCATCAGGTTCTCCAGCACACAGTGGGATGTACAGCAGGAAGAGAAAGGCTAGTTAACGTGTGTGTGCGTGCGTGTCTATGTATTGGTAGAGCTCCAGGATCAGAAAAGGGGGGTTTTTAGACTGACAAAGCCCAGCAGAGTAGCAGGTCCCTGGGCATGCTGAAGAGGCAGGTCAGTTGAACCTTCCTGGTTCTCCAACTTCAACTACCATACCAATACTAAACTCTACCCT